ACTGAACCTCAGACCTTCAACATGTAGAACATGCTCCATTGTGGAGCTGGGTCCTCTTCCCTAAATTTCCGACCCACACACCCCAGTATTATCCTTTCAGAGCACCCCATTAAGGAAACGGAAGATGCTAATAGAGGTATAAATATATACACTCAACCCAAGCTTTCTTAATGGAGTGATATTTTCAATCACGCCTTAAAGCTGACCATGTGATTAAGATCACTTGGATCTATTACAGTTGGCTTCTTCAGTTTTGTTCAAGACAATTGTCAAAGGATAATCCAGCATCTGCTGTCAAACCAGGAGTAGCCAGCCGTTGAAAGTCTCTTGCGCCTGTGGACACATTTAGAGGAGAAAAGTGGCGGCCTTGTTCATTGTGCTCCGCCGGGGAGGGAGCTGCTGCCGCCAGTCACTGCCAGCCGACATACTTGAGCTTTGTTTTAAGTCCTGCCATTTGGCAGTGGTGGCAAAGGTAAGGAGAAGCAGCCGCTAGCTCGCCACTTGCGACTTGCGCTTTGTGCTGACGGACTGGATTTCGAGTCGGGTGCAGTCCGGTACGTGTTTAGGCAGAAGAAAGCCATGCAGCTCCCAGCCAGTTGGGCTTATGAGAAGTGTCTGCAGAGCTCCTCAAAACAATACCTCCAAAGCGAGGTTGGCCATGCCCCCCTGCCCCCCCCCCCAAAAATGTAATGTCTTGATTTAATTCATAGATTTGACTCTAAAGATGGATTGACTTGTCCGGCAGGGCTTTGCTGTTTCTCACAGTGCTGCAGGTGTGTTTCAGGCAGCCTCACACTGCCAGGGGAGCTGCCGTCAAGTCCAAGGGAAAGGGGCACGTGCCCTTCCCTGACAGAAGTGGGGCTCCACGGGGTGGGAGGCACGGGTTGCGGCCTCGCATGGCAGTGCCCCTTCCCCTGGAGTAGGGAGGCAGGCAAACAGCACATGCAAGGGCCTGGCCCACCCGTGCTTGGATAGGATGTCCAACCCCCTCCCTCCCCTACACTGGGGTTGTCCGGCATGTCCTCAGGATGCAAATCTGGTAGCAGGCAGGGGGCCAGTTAAGGGGTCTGCCCTCAAAGCACGTCTGACTCCAGTCTGCAACCAGTGAAGTTGTGCCCAAGCTATAGCCCGACCTTGGCTCTGGGGCACAAGTGAGCTTCCCTGGGGTGAGCCTCCCAGAATGTAGCCTCCCCACCCTCACCGAAAAAAGATTCAGAGACAGGAGAGGTTAAAAAGAGCCAGAGATCGCAAAGAAGGATGGCAGAGCTGAGAGGAGGAGAAAAGAGCCAGAGAAAGGGAGTGTGCGCGCACTCCGAACGGGCGCTCCTCACATAGGCCCCTCTTGTGCAGCCAATCCATCGTCTGATGAGCACCATCATGTTTTCAGGGATAAAAAGTGCTTCGTTGGGTGCCCGTAGTCATGACCTCCAGAGCCGCAGGACACTGAAGGAAGTGGGAGAGACCCTGAACGCTTCCTTTTGCAAGTGGTGGGTGAAATCCGGTTCCACCTCCCTCTCTTCAGCAGGGCCTGCCTCCTGCTCCTTCATCCTAGTGCAGATGCAAGGCATGGGTTGCTAAAGGTGGCATACTCACAGGAGTGCAGCAGGAAAGGGAGCTGGTAGGCCGTGGGGAAGCACGGGGTTGGCAGTGGGGCCCAAGGGGGCCCTTGCATACAGACAGCCAAAGGAGTCAGAGGCCTTTGCGACCCCAGTTGTGCACGGAGCAAAAATTACATGCAGCACATCCAAGAATGGCATCCGGGCCCTCCTGGAGACAAAGGTTCTCTGGCAGTGAAAATCAGCCTAAATAGGTACCAGACTGAACACTGAAATGGCAGAATCACATGCTGATGAATCCTTTGTGATTTGCTGGTGGGGTACTGACCTTAATTAGAGGTTAGTTATGAATTGGGAAAGAGGTCAGATACCTAAAGGACCTGTCAGTATTTGAGTGTTAATATTGAAAAGATGGAATCATCTGTATTTGGAGGATGCTGTTAATTCAGATTCGTAAAATAGTTGAATGACTTCATTGTGCAATCCCAAGGAAGATTATACTGGGCCCGGAATACCTTTATGGAAAGAGTATGTGTTTAATACACTTGTGTCCTTGGAAGAGCCCCGGAACCACCACCACTTTTAATAATTTTGGTGCTTTGATGTAAATGAGAGAAGCAAATACTTTTCTGTCAGGCTCAGCTGAAAGAAACAGCCTATGCATGTACAGCAGTGATGGCAAACCCTTTAGAGGCCAAGTGCCCAAACTGCAACCCGAAACCCACTTATTTATCCTAAAGTGCCCACACTGCAATAAAACCTGAATATGGAGGTTTTAGTTTAGAAGAAACAACTCACAGCCAGTCCAAGCAAATATATATATATCCTTGGCAGCACACTGACCGGCCATGCAAAATCTTGGACGAGTCGCAGCTAATGAGTTGTGGCTCGTGATGTCATCGCCTGGTGCCGCTACTCCTTTCTGAGCATGCGCACGGCCCCTGTGTGCACTGTGATCCGATGCTCGGCTGCTGGGGTGATACTGGGGCGACTTGGCTCGCGTGCTGGCAGAGAGGGCTCTGCGTGCCCGCTGCGGCACACGTGCCATGGGTTCGCCACCACTGGTGTACAGTATGTATATAGCAAGGGAGAAGCGTATGGCGTCAGCAGTGGTGAACATTCTGGCATATCGCCTCCCCTCCCATTGCGAAACACTGAGGGGATGCTTTGCAGTGTGGTGCTGTTAGAACCATCAAAATAGTTTTGGGAGCTGCAGCGGAAGGAAGGAAGGAAGGAAGGAAGGAAGGAAGGAAGGAAGGAAGGAAGGAAGGGCAGACAGAAAGGAATGGCAGGGGAAGCCCCAGGCCCAGCTCCAGTATCTGCCCGCAAGATCATTAGAATCGTACTCTGATTGCCATGACATCATAATCGACGTACAGATATCAGATGCGTTTCTGAAAAATATCTCAGCCGATAAATGAACTTTTGTAGGGTTATTTGTAGGAATCCGAATAAAATAGTTTGACCATGTTATATGCTCATGCAACCTGGTCACTGTGGCCTGCGGTGGCTTGTTTAAGCCTCGAACATGCCAGGAACCATTTGCTGGTTTAGTCACCCAGCTGGCATGGCTTGTTGGAAGGGGGCCAAACCGAGCAGCCCATGGGTTATTTGAGGGTTGCTTCCCCCTTAGGCAGGTCTTGCCTCCCAGGTTGGCAGAAGCAGACAAGCCACATGTGGGCAGGATGATAGGCAGATGGCCCCCGGTGGGCCATGCAGTGATCCCTGGATCCATGCTCTCTAGTCTTTTGGCTTCTCACCAGTTTTGGAGACCGGCATATCAGTGTCTCCAGCAATTTGCTGTACAGGCATTCGGTGAAGTCTGAAGTCATGCGAATAGACCTTTGATTGCACAATAGGATGTCCCATTCTCTACGGCCCCTTGCAGCTTCTCGCTCACACTGCCCCTTGAGGCGCTCTGAAAGAGTCCCCAAGCAGCTGGGAGACATTTTGAGGGTGTGGGTGCAGCTTCCTATTTCACTGATGAGAACTCTCTGTTGGCAGAAAGGATTAGTGGGATACCACCTAAGAATGATGTATCTGGCTAGAAGAAGCCCCTGTAACATGGCAAATGGTTTTGAACATATCTTGGCTAACGATAGTTTGCGATGGTTTTTATGTCATATAAAATATAATCTTTTATAATAAGAACTTGCAATTAGTACATAAGGGTTCGGATTAAGCCTGCCTCTTTTTATAAGGAATATAAAACTGGATCACCACTCAAGCTAACAATTGTGTATATACGTTCACAAGTGAATTAGCAGCCCTGTGATGGTGCCCAGTGTCTCATATACTCCAGTTAAGGGTGCAATGTTGAAACCTTGTACGTTAAATAATGGAAATCAAACTGGATCCTCCTAGATTATCTCAAAGTAGGTCTTCATTCAAGCATCACGTTCCGTAGGTTAGCTGGCAAACAACATACCAGAAATTTGAATATGCACCCTCAAGCAACTACCTAGAGAGATTTATTGTTGTAAGCCGCCCCGAGGCTTCGGCGAATGGGGCGGGATAAAAATGTTTTAATAAATAAATAAATAAAATTTACCTTCAAGGCAGTGCCTTTTAGAAATACATCAGCCTAGCAATTAAGTCCACAGAATACCAACCCATTTCACTAGCCTGTTGTTGTCATTTGTGAGCAACAAGAACGACTCCTCTCGCCACCCAGAGGGCAGGTTTTACTCACCAGAGGAGTGGCTGTTCAAAATGTTGAAGTAGAGACCTCTTCCATTATTCTTAGCAGTTCCGAATCCCATTAAGCAGGTGATGTATTAATATCTGACTCTTAGTCAGATATTCATGGATGCATATTCCATTCCTGGTTTGGTCTTGAATGCCAAACTAGGATTATAGGAAATATTTGTATGTAGGGTGGCATGGGACCTGGTCACTTAGACTGGGGAACCTGAGCATAGCTACCTTTCAGCAGTGTGTGTCAAAGCAGAGGGCAGAGGTACTGCTTAGGAGATTATAAGGACTGGCTTGCTAATAGTGCATTTCCAGGACACACGAAATAATCAGCATTTTTCTCTGTACCCTCCTACCTCATTGAGCTGAACGAGCGCTACCACTGTAAAAAACCTCCATGTAATTTATGATTATGGTTGCATTTATGTTCCACCCTTTTTCCTCCCACAAGGAATCCAAGGCAGCTTACTCGGTGGTCCCCTTCTCCATTTATCCTCACAACAACCCTGTGAGGTAGGTCAGGCCGAGAGTCTGTGAGCACCACAGCTGAGTGGGGACTGGGACCCAGATCTCCTGAGTCCCAGTCCCGCACTCCAAACCACTGTATCACCCAAGGCCCAGCTTAGCTGAAAACAATCTTGAGCACATCCCGCCATTTTGAGGTGGCAGGAAAGTAAACATAAAGAGGGTTTCATGCGATTGAAAACATCCCCGTAGCACACTCATCAATGATCTCTTTTCTTTTAACAGATAGTCCTGAAATAGACAACAAGAATGGAATGGAATGTCAACAGACCTCGCTGAGAACAGCAAAGCATTGTTATTGTACATACTACCCTGTCTCTTCCTCGATAGAATTGCCACAAACTGCATGCTGAGTAAAGAGTTTGTTCGTCTGGACAAATCACAAAACACTAAAGAGCTAGTGCTGCTATATCATATAGGAATATTAAATATGGTATGCTTAGTATATTCCAAACTAATCTAGTTAACTACCTGATGCCAGCTGTGATGGTTCAAGACATAAAAGGGTAACATTTTACTTTTCAAAGTTTTATACAACACCGTTTACTTCTTAGGGATATTGTCTTACCACCATAATTATAGCTAATGTAAGTAGTCCTATTCATATATTATCGTAGGGTTCACAACTTTATGGATTTTTCAATGTTAGCAATAAATGATTTACATTGGCCACTAAGCCCAGGATCCAGAGGACCACAGAATGAGTTCCACGTGGGCAGGATCACCTGGCGGTGTGCATTTCCCACCCAGCATCCCCTCCTCCTTTGCATGGCAGACTGCTTTTGAAATTGTGACAATTCCAAAAGCGGGTTATGATTCAACACAAGAGTCTTCTGCTCAGAGGAAGGTGAGAGCAGGCAGGGGAGCGAAAAACCACACCAGGCGCACGCAAGCTCTTGAGTGTACCGTAGTAGCTCTTCGGATCTTGGCCAAGATATACCAACAGCAGATTTACCTTTTAACCCTTTGACAATTTTGTACTCTCTTGAGAAGCTCACTTCTCTGCTGGGCAGTTGATGCCAAGGCAAAAGAAGTGATGTGGAAGTGCAGCTGTGTTCCAGCCAGTCACCACCCAAATGTCCCAAACGGAGGATCCAAGGTAAAGCACAAGTTGTGGAGACGCACATGAGCTCGTTTTGGATACGTATTGAGAATTGATACTGGAATCATGGCATTCTAGAACTAAATTAAATCTTTGCACGGTATGATTTTCATACCCCTAACAAAGTCTTGACTATGTTATTTTACAAAGAGAGAATATTTTTTAAGAAGCCTTTGCAGAAGTGCCTAAATTTTGCCACAGTAGACTTGAAACTAAGTAGTACTGTGGTCTGTAATTGAATCTACACCAAGCGATTAAGCTTTCACATTTACAATCAGGTTACCAAAAAGAACTTGTTATGAAATAACTTCTTCCCAATTAAAGAAATGGGACTATATGTGAAATGATTAGCATGATATTCTAATTTAATTCAAACTGAATGCAGTCATTGTTAAAATTGATAAGTGACTTTAATCTAGATGATTAGGAAAATACTGAACAGGATGTAGAGAGAGCTTCATTTTAATCCATTGTTACTGTTACCATATTTTTAAAATCAGGTTAAAGAAGTTGTAACCGGATTACAGCACAGAGAAAGAAACTAGTTCTTTTAAACTTTTTCTTTAAAAGCTTATTTTATGTCACAGAAATATGAAGATATCTTTAATACAGCTATATACATATTATATATACACATACATATATATGGACAAAACAGATTTTAATGTTTACTTTTTTAAATACTGTGTTGATTTACAAGGTAATTATATACATTTGATTAATGTAGGAGGTTGCTTTTTAAGATTTGTTTCCTCCACTGTTGTACCAAATATGTCACATTTCACATTTTATATGTTGCACATATATCACATAAGTACATAGTTTTTAAATTATTGTTTATAAAACAAAAAACAGCTGTCCTATGGAAATATGTATAATTGTTTAAAACATCTGTTTTCTTCATGCAAACATTATGAATGATTGCAGTATTTTAACTTAGCCTTTTCAGATTAATTCTAAGCTTTTTAGCTTTGGCAGCACCGCCTATCCTCAGACAAGAAGCACTAATTGATTTTTGCTAATGAAATTTTTTTTCAGTGTTAATCTTGTTTTTAAAAAGTCTGATATCTGATTATAGTAAAACAGTAACTCTGATCACCTAATGGGGAGAAAAAACCCAAAACTGATGGTAAGCATACTATAGTGTTTGTAATCTTGCATCTGTCTTAATTTGTGAGGAAGATACATTTTATTTTAATTTAATTTAATTTTTACTTGTACATTTTCTCAGTTGTTAAACTAGATTGCTGACTTGGCCATTTACCTACATCTGTAGTTGTTGGTTTTGTTTTGTTTTGTTTTTTTTAACAATAATCCATTTAAACATTTGGTAGTTTATTGAACAAAACTAAATGACAATTTATATATGTTGTTTAAATATTTAAACTGTAGAAGAAACATTTTAGTGAACATGGTATGTTTAACCAACTATTTTCTTAGAACCACTCCTATATTGTTTTCTATCCACTAAGGATCACACTTTCAGTACTAATACAAATTTTCTTCCTGAACAAAAAGAGAGAACCTATTTTTAAAAAAAGAATAATTCCACTGTATTGGTATGGAAGTTTGTTCTGTTTTTACATTAAATATATATATATATATATATCAACTTTAAATAATTTATTTCCAAATAGTTGGGTTGGTCTTAATGGAGTTATGCTGGAATAAGTTTTATCAGTGTCTAAATGCATGAGTCATAGAGGTTGTATAGCTGGAAAAAAACAGTAGCCACCCACATAATCCACTTTGGGATATAGATGCACCCCAAAAACCCTGTCTGGGTTTGTAGATAATGCTAGCTCACGGTAGTGCTGTTGAATTTGGAGTTTTGTGTTCTATAAATCCATCTGCACTAACCATACTTTGTTAACCACAAACAACCTAGGAAAGAACCAAGGGTTAGTTCTTCGATGATGTACTCCGGGTTGTTGTTATGTGTGCAGCCAGAACCAAAGGTGATTCTTGGGTTGTTTTATTACAGAAGCAGCAGGCAAGAATGGCCCAAAAGCTCCGTTCCCTGTGTGTCACAAAGGCATTTGTGATATGCCAGAGGGAGGGAGGAGGCAGGGCAGGAAAACAAGAAACCCTTGAAACAAACTGCTGTTTGATCGTCTGCTAGGAAAGTCCCTGGATAGGGCAGGAAGCCATGGGGCATTCAGGGTGAAATAATGTGTACGTTGGCTTTATGTGGAAACCAGACCACCTCTGTCCACTCGTTCCCTCCACATCTCATTGGCCACTTTATTCTTCATCTGCTTCCCTCTGCGTTTCACTTGCCATCCGATTCCTGTCCACTGAAGCTCTACACAGGCCTTTGCCTGAGCAGGCGCGATTTGCGTTTGCAACGTCTTTGCAAGCATGTTCGGCCACTGCTCAGATCTTCGCACTCCATGCGCAGAGGTCTTTGAGTAGCAGCTGGGGGAGCATCCGTGGGTGGTGCATGTACATGTCCTGTCTTCGCTTCAACAGTATTAGAGTTGCCTGTGAGCACCAGCAGAAGGCTTTTGTGGTCCTCCATTCCAGCCCCACCGCAATGTTCTTCCCCAGTGAGCGACTCACCTCGCAACCCTTGGGCACCTGAGCCAATGATACAGCTTCATCTCACCTGCTTGCCTCACCTTGATGTTCTGGTTTCACTTGTTAGCCTGTACCACAAATCGGACCCTGTGTTCAGGTTTTATCTGCTTATCTGAAAAATCTGCAAATCCCCAGCCTAGCTCTAGCTTGCCCCTGTAAAGGCAGCCCAGCCCTGTCATTTCAGCCACATTCTGTAGGATAAGAGGACTTCCTCATTCACAGAGATTGAGATCTCCAACAAGGCAAAGTCATTTTTCTAGGCCTGGTTCCCTCCTGCTTCTACTTGGCTGCAGTTCATTTAGTCTCTGTGCCTCTTGCTTTAAATCCAAATTGATTAAACTAGCATAAATATAAAATATTAACAACATACTTTTTATTTATTTATTATAGAGTAATTTTGTAGAATACATTGAATTTGGGAAGATTTGAAACTATTTTTTGGTATAAATATTATTTGCCAAAACTTCATTTATATTTTGGAAAAGAATGTCTAATAATGGTAATGGACCTTGTGTTGGTTTTATTTTTAAATAACTCCCTTGAAATTACCATAAAATGAGCCAATATAGTCAGGCAGTACAGAAGCTCAGACATGATTTCAAGTTACTTGAGATGTCTCTCTATTTTCTGTAAAAGCACCTCACCGAAATACCTTAATTTGCCCATCCAAAACAATCAGTGGCAACATTCACATCGCATACTTTTTCAGTAACAGTTAAATAAACCCCTTATATTATTCCATGTACTGTAACTATTTAGCAGCCTGTTTAAATACCCATTTATGAATTTGTTGAGATATTATTTAATTACCCAATGTGGAACTATGGAAATAAAAAGGAGCATTTTAAAATTAATCTTGTACCTCAGCTTTATTTTTTAGTGGTGATACTGAGAGACATGATCCTAAATGGGAAAGAGGGAAAATGGGAGCGTACATTTTAAACAGTTGTGGGTAATAAAGAAATAGAGGCCGTCAAACAGAGAGTTTGTGATAAAAAAAATATGAATTAGCATGCAATGCAAATTCACGTAGAAACTACACCGATCAAGAATTCATAGTACCAAATAGGAAAGTACAAACAAGCGGAACTTGAGCTTACCAGAGTTCACAAAAAATCCTTCCTGAAGCTTATTCCGGCTCAGATCCGTATCAGAAAGCAAACTGCTTTTTTCACATGCAAATCCATGCATATTTTCTGCATATGTTTCCAAATATATGAATCAAGCTGTACATATCTCTGAAACATACACATTATTCTGCCATTGAGTACAGCATATTTGTGCACATTTTTCAAAGTACACATTTTTCATGCACAGTTTTCAAATGTAAATGTGCTGTGAAAGGCATTATTTTTTGGTCTGCAAATGGCATTGCAAACTTAGAAATGTATGGACCTGCATCCAGGTCCATGTTTGGTCTAGAAAGGTGCAAACTGGCTAAACCCTGACCAAAAAGGAACTGGAACCAATTTTTCATGCATCCCGATTGGCAAACTTTTATCCCAGGAAGCAGCTATCTCAAAGTGTCCCTAAGACAACCTACCCAAGGTGGTTCCTGTTGAGATTCTTTTGAATTACCATATTTTTCCATCTATAAGACGCCCCCATGCATAGGACGCCCCCTACTTTTCCTACCCATTTCCAGCAAGCAAGCTGCTGCCACTGCCCCCCAGGACCTCGCCACCCCCCCACACATGCGCCAGTCTCTCTCCCCAGCGCGCCCACGGCCTCCCATGTATAAGATGCACCTCCATTTTTAAGTAAATGATTTTAAGAAAAAGTAGTATACGGGAAAAAAGTACATGGAAAAATAGGTTTTTAATATTTGCACTCCGTGATTGCTCCCCGCATACACCTTGAAAACACAGGTGGTTGGCGTGCAAGGCTGTCCAGTGAACAGGGCACCTTTGCAGCAATTCTCTCAGCCTAAGAGGTAAAGGTGGCAAACCTGTGCTTGGACTTGAGCTCTTCACTGTTGTGGTGGGGAAATCACAGTCTGAAATAATGGAATACTCATCCAGAAAATAGTATTTCCTCCATGTAACAAACTGCAACGCCAGAAAAACGGTTGGCTATAACCCTTAACTGGACAGAATAGTTGCCTGTACAGGAGGTTTTATTATTTTTTTGAGAGGAACAGCATTCAGTGATGCAAGTCCTACAGCCTAGTCTGGGCAGTTTTATCACATCAGGGTTGCAGCCTGGAGTGTTTGTGACAGTTACTGCTTGTAGAAACTGTTTTTACACTTGTTTTGATCGTTTTATATATGCTTTTCTGCGGGTCATTGCTCAGGGTCTTGCAGAACCCCGTACAAATTCATTAGACTAAGACGTTGCTTGCACTAATTGTGCTAGGTCTGATCACAGTTGTATTATGCTAGCAGCACACCACCAACTCGTGGCATTTTTCCCTTGCACAATACTAGATATAACCCAGAACCGGCACAGTTGTTATGAGCAGTACATTACTCTAACGGAAAGTTGTGATGAACTGTGCTTGTGCAACAGCAATTTGTGCAAAAGCATATACAATCCTTTGTGCAACAGCTTGCACAAACAGGATTGAAACATGGGATTAGATTTACAATACAAAACATCTGGTGCAAGCATAAAAACACTGTCCATAAACAGTACAAGTTTTGTACTGGTGGAATGACATAAAAAATACAATGGTCAGTAAAAACTATGTCTTTGTTTTGTAATGTTCAACCTGGTATCCTCCAGATGTTTTGAACTGTAACTCTCATCATCCCTAACCATTAACTAGGCCAAATCAGAGTTGTAGTCCTAAATATCTCAAAGGCACCAGATTAAGGAAGTTTGCTTAATGTATCAATTTCTCCTTCTGACTAATACCTCTCTTGAGGCTGGTAAACAGGCAAGTAGACACATTTACCTAGTAAATAACATGTTAACTTACCCAATAACTGGTGGAACAAAGATAGCACACAGATATTTGAAAACATTGTCATGCAGCATTCTGGAGGTGGATGGCCAATCCAAACAGGCATTTAAGTGCAGACTTCTCATACTGTTACTTGCTAGAAAAAAATTCCACAAACCTTGGCTGGTGTGGGCATAACCTTTGATAAATGAAGGTACCTTTCAAGTTATTTCCTACTGTTGGGCAAGGTCTCAGAGATAGATCTGGTTCTTCAGCAACTCATGTGAGTCTTATAAAGATCCTGAAGTATGGTTGCTAAACATTCAGATTTAACTTGGCTAAATACTGTAAAACATTTTGGGTTGTCTGGTGAGTTTTTTCCTGGTAATCTATGTGACAAATACCAAAGTGGAAGGATCACGCAATTATGTCAAGGGAGTTCAATGGGACAAATTGGTTAGATGCATTTTGTCCAGCATTACAATTCTGGGATACATTCCCTATGAAAATGGTTTGTGTGGACAGAGTTCCACTTCCATGCCGCCATTCCGACTGCAACCACAAAATGGCACCTCCCAGCCAATGGCACCAAGATGCCTCCCAGCCAAAAGACAACTGCACCAATGTTTTTTTTTTTTTTCCAACTACATTCCAACAAAGTATCTACAAAAGGAAACTAGAAGGTATAAAACAATACTTAGTTCCTTATTTACAGAACTTGAAATGACTGGAACAATTTGTTGCCTCTATGCTTATGTGAATTCATATTTAAATATGGTTTGCTTCCCATCCCTCTGGATAAAAGGATTTTTCCAAAATGTATCATGAACCATGCATCGGAGCAGCTGCCATTCATCACCAATCCTGTAGCAGCTCCAGTAATTGCCAGTGCATTTCCAGACCCACTTCAAAGCACATGTGTTGACTAGAGCCCCACGCTCTGTGGATCTAGGCTCTCTGAAGAACTTCCTATATAAACCTCCTTTCAAGGCCCCCTTTGGAGGCTTTGTCCATTGGAGTGCTCCCTAGATCGAGAAGGTTGTGGGGCACTGGAGATCACGCTTTCTCATTACAGGGCCCTGCCTATGGAATAACCTACCCAGAGATAGGCAGGTGGCCCGTATGTGGCTGTTCTTAAATGATTTTTTAAAAGTATTTTTATTGAAAATGTTTGACATTCCACTGCTCTTGGAAGCATGTTTATTTTGAAAGCATGTTTTATTTTAAAATCTATTGAATGCAACAAAGGGTCTGGAAGCAGGCCTAGAAAAAGATAAAATAAAGCATACATTAGTGGCTTCAAAGGGAGGGCCGGGGGGGGGGGGGGATGACAATAGATGATGAAGACAAGAGTTGAACAAAGGAGGAAGTAAGGAATGAATAGGATTGGAGCAAAATCCTATAGCTGGCCACAAGAAAATGGTCAGGCAAGAAAGATTTAACCATCCGTGAACTATGAACCAAGGGATCAAGGGGGACTAGATAGACCATGACAGGGCTGATTTAGACGTTTGCCAATTGTGGCTCCTGCTATCAGTGCAGCTTCAATACTTAACTACGTAAAGCAGGGGCTGCCAATAGATAGGGTTGGTTGTTGTATATTACTTTCAAATTATCTTTCTTTTAAACCTAACTCCAAAACTTTCAGGGAACTTGGTTGCCCTGGCCCTTCTAAGACCATTTCTCTCAACTGTATTTTGAACATTGTATCCCTGAAACAATCCTTAAAAACATCTTGCATCTAAAAATCGAAAGGCTTTAGACTATCTCCTTCGATAGAGCTTGGAGTTGGTGGGAGGTAAACAAGAAAGCTCTATTTTTCCTACAGTTGTCAGTCCCTAATTGTTATGGCCTTTAGCTTTTAGTCTCAGTTGGTCAGCGAGAGAGGAGGGCAGTGATTGGCTGGGTTCATACCTGGGGAGGGAGGGGGGAGAGCGAGCAGACTTAGCACCATGGTAAAATACCACAACTGGGGGTTAGAGAACACAGACAAGCAACAGTAAACCATCATGTTCCCTAAAAGCAGCAATTCTCAAAGGATAGTTCTGTGACACTTCCTGTATCACATTTGCTTGCATCTAGTTAAAGCGATGGGTATAGGATACGCACTAGTGCGCATGGCAGCATCTTCCAAGACACCACAGACACGTTTCCCAAGCTAGATGCGAGTTAGATACTAAGGTTGCTTACACCCAGGTATCCAACAATTTGCCTATTATGGTGTTGCAGTTTACAAATGTGTTTAATTATCCTGTGGCATGGCTGCAGTAATTCTTTTAATGCCAGATCGCAAAGTTCCTCTCAGATACTAAGCACACTCCATAATCAAAGGTGAGAAGAAATTATGGTACATCTTTGGCTAGTGTGCCACCTTGTGGTGTTTCCTTGAGACATCTCTAGATTGGCACTCCACAAAAGGTGAATCCATCTTAAAAATTTAAAATATGTAACAAAATAAGATACAGAAGTTTATGTGCTGGATTTTTCACTTTTTAGAAAGTACACACTGTTGTTTAACTTTCTAGAGCAGATGTTGCCTTACCATGTTTCCAGTGCCATACTTTAAAAAGCGTTATGTGTTTTTGAAATGTATGAAATGCGGCAAGAGTATTCGGTCAAAGTTTTCTTCTCCAGATCACCTCTGTATAATGTGCTACAAAGATCTCTTTCCCCAGAGAGGGTTTGAGCGGCTTTGGAGCATGAGCTTACACCCCACAATGGTGAGCCGAGGTGCCAGTTTTTACAGAGAAATTTACCTACACAACTACTGGGGCAGTGAAAGAGCCATGGGTCCACCTGCCCATTTCCTCGCAGTCCTGCTGACATCTGTCCCCCTCCTTAACACGCCCTGACAGGGAGAGGTGCTGGGGTACCTCATCAAGTTTTCAGATACACTGAGTCACACTGGTCTTTATTTTCAGCCTACATAGCCAGTGTTTTCATTCTTGCACATTTTCTAACACACTGCTC